CTGTTGCCTTATTAGTTTCTCATATTTCTTCTGGGCTGCATTGGTTTCCTCATCTTCAGAGCGAATTAGCAGACACTACATCCATTTTTTTGGCTAATTAATTACTTTTCCTTCTAACCTTTTATGTCAATACCTATGCAGAAATGGAAATTACAAGCAGAAGCTAACGATGAAGCTGAAAGACTTCTCAACCAATCAATGCCAACAGAAAAGGTCTAGACAAGTTTGTGCTTATGTTTTCGATCCAGGTATATACTTCCTTTTTCCACATCTTATGAACCTGAACTTCTTACCCAGACTTTCTATTTGGTCAAACCCATGTAAGAGAGAGCATCAACACCTCCTTCACATGACCCAATACTTTCCAAAACCTTCTTCGCTTTGCAATCAGCCCCAGTACATGACGTTTTGAAGCATCATCAGGTCAGTGCTTCATTGTAAGATATGTCATTACTGAAGATCTCAGCTGTTAAGTTGTATTATTGTTATGAAAAAGTACATTGAAATCTAAGTTTGAGATCTGAAATGTGATTTATCATGCAAGCAATATAACACATTACCTATTTAATGGATTTCCATCTTTGCATTTTAATTATGTTCTTAGTTGGGTCTGATTATAATCAGGTTAGCTATAGTTTCTTCTTATTGCCCACCTGCTGGTTAGGACAATGAGCAATTATATATATTTGTTCACTTTGAACGGAAGCCTATACAATTTTACTTTTGAATTCTATCCTAAATAACTTGTAACAATGAAGATGCGTGTTCTTATTTACAATGGACCTTTCCCACAGGACACTTAAAAAAAAAAAAAAAAAAGAGGGGAATTCATGATTCTCTTGTTAGAAAGAAAGATTCATGATTCTTTTCTTTAGCTTCAGATTCATGATTCTCTCCTTTTACCTCTAAGCCAGGGAATGGAATTTGGTACGATACTTGCTTTATTCACATTCATCTTATGAGGAGGAAGGGCCAATGGAATTTTAAGGTACAGCCTTAATTTATAGCCTCTGAATGATATGTTCTATACCTTGAGATTGGAGCTGGAATTGGTTGGACATTGTCCTTTCTTCTTTGTTCTTTTTTTCCCCCTTTTTGAAAATATTTCTCATTTTTTTAAGAGACTTTGTAGATCATTCCCAAGAACGGATAAAATAAGAATAAGTTCAACAAGAAGTAAGATACTTGATCACTCTAGGGAAACTTGTTATGAAAAGTAGCAAGTAATTGTACCATATTGATTCACCCTAAACCCGCTTTGTCTTTAGGCGACGTTTCTTATGGAAACTAAGGAATCGTTTTGTAACATTCATGTTTCTTGTTTTTTGTTTTCGTTTCTTATTTTCTGAGAAACAGACATGTTTGGTAACCATTCTGTTTTTCGTTTTGAAAATTTGAGAAACGTTTCAAAAAAAGGGGTTAAAATTTGGAAACTACGAAACATTGTTTTATTTTTGCTATTTCTGTTTCTTGGTCTCCAGTTAAGTAATACATTGTGTAATTATATGGCAAATGGATCTATAGCTCAGTTGGTGTAGGTGCACACTTATATAGGGCAATTGGTTCAACTCTCATATGTATCAAGATTTATTTGTTCAAGAAATAGTAGGAAACGAGAATTTACCAAACGGTCCTCAAAGCGCCAACTTACACCAATTTCTTGTAAATGTTGTTGAATTAAAAAAGTAAAAATTTAAAACAACACTTTCCTTTTAGCTTTACTTTTTTTTAAGGTTAAAATACTATTTTTTTTAAGGTTAAAATACTATTTTGGTGTCTGTACTTTCAATTTTAGTTTATAGATTTTTTAATCTATGTACTTTTAAAATGTTCGTTTTGGTTTTCAATTTCGAAAAAGTGATTATTTTGGTCATTATTTACAAAAATTTCAATACAAGTTCTACAATGGAAACTCTTTACTATATTGGTTATATTTAAAAAATTATATTGAGTGTTGTTTAGTGTCATGTTGAAATTGGATAGAAAAATAAAATTAAAGGAATGATTAATTTTAAAAGTACATGAACAAAAAGAACCATTTTAAAACTACATTAAAATGAATTGAATATTTTAAAAGTACATGGAGGGAAATAAATAAACTATAGAGACTAAAAAAAATTTAATATTTTATGTTAAATTCTGCAACAAAAATTACTTTTTCTTCCTTGGGTTACGTTTGATTAGTGGTTACTAATTTTTGAGAAAATTTTATAATTCATAGGTTAAAAATGAAAAAAAAAGGATGATTTTATGAATATTATACAAAGTTGGAAATACCAACACAATAATTTTTTTACTTGATAAAAAAAATGACATTCTTAAAAAAAATATTAATTAAAGGGAAGGATATGATTATGGAATTAAAAATGTAGATGGATAAAACAACAAACAAGTAAATTTCATTTTCGCGAAAGATGTAGTAAAAAAAAAAAGGTAAATTTCATTTTCTTTAATTTATTCTTGTTATTGAATTTCTTCCACTACTGTCCCAATTGACACTGAATCTTTCTAGCTATTAAAGAGAATCAAGTTCCACCATCATCAATCTATTTTTTATTTTTTCAAAAACAAAAAAGGAAAAAGAAAGGATACTATTTTCATTGCTACGTTAAGGATGTGTTTGGGGTGACAGTAGAATGAGTGATTTTGAAAAAATAGATTTAATTATAATTAATTTTCCAAAATCATTATCCAAGTAATACCTTAAAATCAATTTAAGGTGATTTTGGCCACTCCCAAACACACTCTAAGATATTCATTTATAAAGTGCAATTCACGAAAGAGAAACTTTAAGATAGCACGATAAACACTTAAAGTTGTCGATCTATGATTGAGTAGATATACTATAATTAATTAAAATACAATTTGAAAATTAAATGGTTCAATCTAGACTTTTCCATTTAACTTTTACCTTTTGAATTCTTCATATGGTTTGAATCCCTTTTTGACCAACACAAGGGAGGAAGAAAATTTTGATTTCCCTGCTTACAGTTAAGTATTTTAAGTTTAATTTTAATTCTTAAGTAATTTTATTTATTCCGAAAATAATTAAATATGTCAACGGAAAAAAGAAGCGAATTTCTTTCTAACAATTACAACCCTAAATTTTATATAATAAAACTTGCTCATTTAAAATGAACATGCAATAATCTTTACTCATTTGGGCATATTCTCTAAAAGTCCTATTTTTCAAGTGTATGGTGAAAAAAAAAGGAAAAGATATTCTTTTATGTCATTTTGGCTACCACTTTCAAGTATCAAAAATTCACAATGCTTTTGACAAATTTTGGACTCATGCATTCATTCTAAAACATTTAAATTTCATATAAAAAAAGGTAAGAATTGGGGGAGAATTGGGGGAGATTAGGTTAATGTTCAATCTACTTTATCTAATAATGTTTAATATTCCAAAATGTCCATCTTTTTCCACATGATCATACTTTTTCATTAATCGCCTCCTATGCTTAGCAATATTAATTAATTTATATAAGTTACGTTGTTTGTTGGAAATTCTGTAAGTACCAAACAAAAGATGATATGTTTTCTTAAGAAGAAATTGGCTTTTGGATGCCTTTTGCCATCTTTTATCAATGATACAAAGGAGAGAAAAGTATGTTATGCATCTGTAAAATACAAAGTAATAAATAAATAAATAAATAAATACTAAAGGAGTTTATGATTAAATATTAAATATTTAAAACATTGGTTTAAATACGATTTTGGTGTCTGTACTTTCGGCTTTGATTCATTTTGAGGTGGCTACTCTCACGTTGTTACTTTTGATCCATGTATTTTTTACTTTTGTTTATTTTAGTTTATGTACTTTTAAAGTGTCATATGTGCTTTAGAAAATTGATCATTTTGGTCCCTATTTGTAAAATTTTAACATAAATTATGGAAAAAATTTAATACAAATTTATGTCTACATTTCAATAAATTTAGTTAGTAATATGTACTCATGCTAAACTTTTGATAGAAATAAAAATGAATGTAATAAAATGATCCATTCTTAAAAATACGGGGATCAAAACCTTGCCCAAGTAGATGTTATATGCAGGAGACCTAAAATCAAAATAAAAAGAATACAGGGTGGGGGATCGAACTCATAACCTCTTGGTTGGAGATATATGCAAATTATCGGTAAACTATGCTCACTTTGACAAACAAAAATAATAATTGCATTGTAGGAACCCAAGATGTTTATCAAACAACAAATACATTAATAAATAGTAACCCAAAATGTATATAATTTTCTTAGTACAACATCTGATCGAGTGAATATTCGAATTCATGACTTAAGTGTTTTAACTAATTGAATTATATCGAATTATCCAAAACATTTATCATTTAAATTTAATCAGAGTGGTATATTTATAAGAAAAATAACTCTATCAAGACCATCCGTCCAAACTCCCTTTAAATGTGATAAATAAGTTTGAGAAAAATGAAAAATAAAGAGTTTTTTTCAATTCAATGGTAGTAAAGATTACCGACGAGAAGGATTGTTTTCCTATTTATAAACCAATTACTTAGCAAAAAACGAAAAAATTAATATATATATATATATTTTTCAAATAATCGAAAGCAATTTAATACTTTTTATTGTTTCGTTGACTCCAAAGTCCAAAGTAAAGGTAAACAACATGGATGATAAATTTGATAGTATATTCTCTTTGCTGAGGTGGCCAAACACAATACCCGAAATTCCAATATTACCCCTCCCAGTCCCACTTTTTCTTTTTCTTTTTTCCTATTAATAACAAAAAGGAACCTTTAAAAAGAGAAACGAAAAAAAAACAGAAACCTTTTATTTCTGAATTCTGATAATTTATTCTGTTCTTCGAGCTTCAAGTTGTATAAATTTGTGCTCCATTTCCAAACCTTTCTTCTTCAGTGATCTTTCAAAACTCTGTTCTGAGTTCTCTCTCTCTTCTTTTGATCACTCTCCTTCTTCAAAAATCTTGTATGGTTATGGCGAAAACTATTCTCGTCACCGGTGGCGCTGGCTACATTGGAAGCCACACTGTTCTCCAGCTCCTCCTCGGCGGTTACCGCACCGTCGTCGTCGATAACTTGGACAACTCCTCTGAAATTGCTCTTCGCCGGGTCAAGGAGCTCGCCGGAGATCTCGGCAAAAACCTTACGTTTCATCAGGTTGGTTTCCGTTTCGGTTCTGAATTCTTGTTGTTCTACTCCTGAAACGGCTCTTCAGTTTCTCGTTTCTTTTCCCTTTTGGAACTTCTTAATTCCGTTTCTTCTTTGTTTAATTGTGAAGAGGCGTGTTCTTTTTTGGATTAATTGAACTTTTTTTTTGTTATAGTGTAGTCGTACTCGGCTTTGCTTGGTTTTTCCTTTCGGAATTTCTGTTTTCCTCTCATCTTCTTGCTGGTTCCAATTCCTTTTGCTGTTTTGTTAAATTGTGATTAACTACTGTTTGAAAATTGTTATTTATTTGTTTATACTTGGTTTTMTTTTGGGGGGTTTCTGATTTTTCTTTCACCTTTCTTGCTATACCTTTCTTTTACCCCCAATTATGATTGTGTACTTGAAATGTTTGAAGCTTGTTTTTGTTATTGAGACGAATCATCTTCTCTGTTACTGAAATGTTTGTTTTTGACTTCCATCTAGATTACTACGTTGGTTATATTTTGGACTATATAATGCGGCAAAACGTTTCTTAGATGATGTATGGAATCATAAACATGTGTCTTCTCGGTTCAACACTTCGATTTTGGTTCAGACACTAGTTTAATTCTGCTTTGGTTTAAATAAAATCGAAAAATTTTCTTTTCTACAGCTGGACCTCCGGGACAAACGGGGACTGGAGAAGGTGTTTGCTTCAACACCGTAAGGACCTACTCTACTCTTGAACCTTTTCGTTGGATAGGAAAAGAGAGATTCGTTTAGTTAACAGGATTTTTGCACGAATTTTTCCTTAGATCTCTATGTTAAATGTGGGCTTTATTCTTTTTTGATTAAGTAAATTGGTAAAAAAGATGCCGAGGGGGCTCCACACATGTACCCATGAGGCACACAAGTAAGCTTCCATGCGTATTGCTTAGCGTAGCGTTCTCCCCGTGGTATTTGTATGGACTGAGTAGGTTATTTATTTAATCTCCTACCATCCTGAAATGTTATCAAATTGAACACTTTGATCATTTAGGCCAATCTTATTATGTGACAAGTTATGAATAGAATATCCTTGAACTTCAACTACATGAAGTATGTTTTCCTATTTTTATTCAACTAGAATATCGGTGTTTAATTCCTGATGTGTTTTAGCATCGGTTATCTAGCCTTTGTAATTTGTAGTCAACCAATCTTCATCGCAGATTTGATGCTGTTATACACTTTGCTGGACTGAAAGCAGTTGGTGAAAGTGTACAGAAACCATTGCTTTACTATGACAACAACTTAATTGGAACAATTGCTTTATTGGAAGTCATGGCGGCCCATGGGTGTAAAAAGGTTTTCTTTCCTGTTTCATTGCTAGTAGAAATATTGTTCTACTATTATTAATTGAAAACAAATGTGTTACGGTTTATTTTTTCATATTCGAGGTTGAATTTCCTTTTTCTCCTTCATTTAAATTGTTTGTCTGTCAAGTTAATTACAATATAAATTTGAACCTTTAGTTCAAAATTAATTATAGCTTTGTTTGACGAAGGTCTGTACAGTCCCTGATCTTACCTCGATATGCATATTGTCCATAAAATTCTAAATTGCTTGGCAGCTCAGTACCATACAGTGAAGCAAGCATGTGACTTTTCTGGATCAAGCATATGCCTTTATTCTGCTTTTGTATTCCTTGGATTTATGTTATTTTTGAGACCAGATTTTTCCACTTAATTATTTTCGTAACTTTTGAACATTTCAGCTTGTGTTCTCATCTTCAGCCACTGTTTATGGTTGGCCGAAGGAGGTACCATGTACAGAAGAGTTCCCCCTCTCTGCGACAAACCCATATGGACGAACCAAGGTATACATCTCACATGCGTACTGTAGCTGGTCATTAGTTATGTATAAATTATATCTGCTGATGAAATGATATTATAGAAAATAATTCATCTTGTCGTTTCACTTTTGCAGCGATGCTGTTTTCATGTTTTTCTTCGTATCGAGTTCTAACATGTGGTTTTGGTTCTCTTTTAGCTCTTCATAGAAGAAATTTGTCGTGACATATACCTTTCGGACTCTGAATGGAAAATCATATTGCTAAGATATTTCAATCCCGTGGGTGCACATTCCAGCGGCCATATTGGTGAGGATCCCCATGGAATCCCAAACAATCTCATGCCCTTTGTACAGCAAGTTGCTGTTGGCAGGCGTCCTGCATTGACGGTCTTTGGAACTGACTATTCAACAAAAGATGGAACTGGCGTATGTTGATTTTATGAACACTAGAACTATGTTGTTTGCATGATTGTTTGTTTGTTATGCTGAACTAGATTTGCTTAGTCTGAGCTTCCAACAACTCTCTTCTCAATGTATATTCACAAATGAGATTTATGGAAGTCGAAGAAGATGGTCATTAAAAGATTTAATGCCCTTTTCAGGTACGTGACTATATTCATGTTGTTGATTTAGCTGATGGACACATTGCTGCATTGCGGAAATTAGATGCAGCTGGTGTTGGTAATTTGCATACTCTTGGGCTTAGTAGATTTCCCAGATTTACGAGTTTTCCTTGTTCATTTTTGCTTTTTTTGTGTGTTTAAGAACCGTTTTGGAGGATGCTTGAATTATTTACGCCAAATTTATATCTTGAGTTCTAATAATGTTCATAATGCCATGAGAACACTGTAGACTCCCTGAAAAGACAAATTTCTACATTACATGGGAGAATAATGTTTACAGTCAGTTTGTAATCAACGTTTTAAGTTAAAGAAAATAACCTTGGTATTATTATTTTATGCCATAAAATTTTTGAACTCTGGGGCACTGAGTAGTGATTTGGTCACAAGGAGGGAATTTTTTTGTGTTTTTTCTTTCGGGCGATTGCATCCCTCTGATTTTCTTCTTTCAGGTTTCAATTAGTTCGGACTTGTTTATTGTTGAATTGGGACCGAGACAAAAAAAGCTCTTTTTTAATGTTCTAATTAAAATAGCTAATAATGACAAGTGAAAATTAAAGCATTCGAGAGTTTGAACGGTATATGTCATGACAGGTTGTGAATTCTTCAATTTGGGAACTGGAAAGGGTACATCAGTTTTGGAGATGGTTGCAGCATTTGAAAAGGCATCTGGAAAGGTATTTTTGCCTCTATTTCATTTGCATATATTACCGAGAAACTCGGGTTCTTTAGATAGGTGGAATTTAGGGTGTTTTTGGTAATAAAAGTAACTGTAACGTATTCCTTTTTTCAATGCTGTCCTGATTATGCGGTAAGATCGCCACGCTTTAGAAATGACAATAATTGAATTCATATTTAGGATTTCATTTTTCAGATTAGAGATAAGCTGCTATGATTCCAACTACCAAGTATGGATAGAACCAATAACCCATCCTCATCATAACAGAGTCATCACAGCGACTCTTACACCACGAGCTCGAATAACCTGTTTCTGACTGCATTATCGAAATATAATTTAGAAGTTCTTGTCCTCTTGATGTGTTTGATTGTTTCTTTATTTCATCATGGCTGTATGTCACTTCCCGTATGAATTTACCGGTTAATTTCTCTGTTCCAGAAAATTCCTCTAGTGATGTCTGAACGCCGACCTGGTGATGCTGAGGTCGTCTACGCATCAACGCATAAGGCAGAAAAGGAGTTGAACTGGAAGTACGTCTTTTCTGTTCCTTAATGGTTTCCTTTATAAATTATATGCGTTTATGTTCCACCAGCTACTTTCCTCGGTCTATCAGAAGTAGAACGGTGTACCGAACAACCCGAGTTTAATGGTTTTGGATATAATGTTAAAAGTAGTAGTAGCAAGGATGAATGCACCACCAAACACTCGAATCGAGTCAGGCATTTCTCGAACCAAACAATGAACATAGAGACCGGATGGTTATGAGTTGTTATGTTCCTTGTGAGGTTGGGATCATCTAACAATTCCACTTGTGAATGCAGAGCAAAATATGGAATCGACGAGATGTGCAGGGATCAGTGGAACTGGGCCAGCAAAAATCCCTATGGCTATGAATCTCCAAACTCCAACTGATGCCTTACACTAATCTAATCTTGGGGCCATCTCTTAGCCCCACAGGCTTTTGCATTTACTCTCACTTCTCCACTTTTAGATTTATGTTATCTTATGTTATATAAACTTCTTGGTTACGATACAAGTTTATCGTCACCGAGATATCGATATTTTGAAGATTGTTCGGCCACCCCTCAATCTAATAAAAAGGCTCCTTTGCTTCTTTATTGAGTTATGAACTGTGAATTGCAGATCAAGGGTGCAAGTTGAAATCAAAAGAACAAGCAACACATGTCAGTCGGTTTCGAAACTAAAAATCAGTAGATTTGTCTGGTCCAAAATTTGGTCGGTTTAGTCAGTTTCGTCCAGGACCGAAACTAGATGGTAGCATCCCAAAGGCCAAAAGGACTATGATGTGCTGTTGAGAGTGAGAGTTTAAATTTGGTAGTGTCATCTTTTGTGACTGTTCTTTGAATAATTTGAATTTGAATTTGAATGGGTATATGAACGGAAAGATGGTAAAATGGTAATGACAAAAGTCATTATGATGGGTTTCTAAAAGAGCCAAACAGAGCTTAGTGTTTAAAAAACTAAGTCCAAGCGACAATTTCAAAGAAAAATAAAGGCTTTTTCTAGAGGCTGGTGGACCCCTCCAACGGCTCAAAATATTTTGAATTGTGTTTTCGGCATCAATCGCCTTATGGTCCAATCAGATTGTGGTTTGAAACCATATTGGAAATTTTCCTTCACATTATTAGTTCCTACTAAGATATCAAATTTTTGTGACGTGTACCGACGCCTGCTTCTAATTAAAAAGTTGTAATTTTTAATTTTTTTAATTAAAATGGTTATTTTTTAAAAGTACGGATCAAAATAAATACTTGAAAGTAGATAGACTACAATAATAAAAAAAAGTAAATGTAAATAAATCTTGTATTGGTTGTTAAAGTTTCATTATTGTTTTATTTTAGTTTTCTAAATTGAATTTTATTTTAGTTTTAGTACATTAACTCTTTATCAAATTTGTCTTTGTTTTTATCTCCAACAATCAAATGTTTTGTTGAAGGTTAAATTTAATCAGTTAGTTAAAATTTGAAGAGAATATTTTGTTTGAAGGTTTTAATAGGCACAAGTTTATCCCTCTATAAATTAGAAAAGTTTAATTTGCTTGATATGTATATCAATTATGACCTTATGTTATAAGTTAGAGGCTCAAATCTTCCTCCTTTATTTGAATGGTTTTTATAACATTCTTCATAAAAATAAGTGTTTGAATTGGTAACTTATATTTAGTGGGTGGATATAATGATAAGTCACTCTATCTTGTAGGATTAAGAAGCCTACTCTTTCACCCTAATCAGATATAAAACTATAATTTTGGTAAACAAACTTATTTACTAATATAGGTTGAACTTAAACTTTGAGTTACTGACCTAATTGAGAAGTCAAAAAATAGTGCAACTAACATTCAACTTCCATTATATTTAGATATAGATATAAATTTTGGTTAGTGCAATAAATATGCAACATCGAGTTTATAAGTAAGTAAGATGTCTTGATCGAGCCTACTTGTTTTGACAAACAGATGAAATTTCTCAAAAGTTCGGATTTTTTTTAATTCAATAACTAGGTGTAGAACCTCTAATTTTGAAGAGGTTGATATTTTGATCAGCTGAATTAAGTTCGAGCTCGGTTAGAAAAAAAAATAAAAAAATTAAAAAATTAAAAGTAAGCGTTGGGAATTTGTGAAGTATATAAAATGGGAGCCGTGTACTACCACCGCCACTCCATTTTGCGTTTATTCCATTTCCAATTTCTTCAAACGCGATTCTCTCTCTCCCCCGCTTGGCGCTTGGCATCTGCCAGAGATCTCGGATTTTGAATTTTCTTCATCCGTCGTCGTTGCCTCGATCAGTCGTTGGATCCGGGCGATCTGATCTGACTTCGTGTTGACGCCTTTTTGGATCTTTGATTTCATTTCTAAAAATGGAGAATCTGATCTCTTTGGTTAACAAAATTCAGCGGGCCTGTACGGCTCTCGGTGACCATGGCGAAGCCAGTGCATTGCCTACACTCTGGGACTCCTTGCCGGCTATCGCCGTCGTCGGTGGCCAAGTATGTTTCCGATCTCCCTCTTTTTTTCTCTGATTAACACGACTTTAGCGATCTAAACTGATGGTATTGTTCCGATGGTTCTTCTTTTTAGTCGTATGGGGTTGATGCAGTTTTTTACCGCGTGAATCGTCCCTGTGGAGCTTTTTGTTGCTCAATAAACATTAGATATGGAGGGTTTTGTAGCTAAATCGATTGATTTTTGGTTTTGCTATCGTGTATATTATGTGGATCCGTGTAATTAGTCGAAGTTCAGCTCAAACATGGATGGATCCGTTGGGTTAATAGGCGTTAAATAATATATAAACTAAAAGTCTATTTACTCTGTCGAAGAAAAAAAGTACGAACGAGGTGTCGGCGCGATAAGTTTTTCATGTCGGAACTTTCTTGATGGCAAAAAGTTCTCCATGATATTTTTCTTATCAACTGGATGTCTATTTGTTTCTATATGCCGATGTAACTGGAGAGAGCTGTAGCTCTCAATCCATAGCCAAGCAGAAATAACCTTTCTCGTTTTTCCACTCTTGCAGAGTTCGGGCAAGTCTTCAGTCTTGGAGAGCATAGTTGGGAAGGACTTCTTACCCCGTGGATCTGGTAATGAATGGAGAACTTAGACTCTTGAGGAGTTAAATATAATGCTGCACTTTTTGGCTAACAGGACGATGTGCAAATTTTTTTACAGGTATTGTTACTAGGCGTCCTCTTGTCTTGCAACTCCATAAAATTGATGAAGGAAGAGAGTATGCAGAGTTTCTCCACCTTCCCCGGAAAAAATTTACTAATTTTGGTAAATGTCTTTATATTTATTTGATATTTCAATTTTGCTCACTTTTCTGTAAGAAACAGAACTTTACTGATAAGGACAATAAATTATGCATTATAAAGACTAGGGATTTGATACCTCCTTCAGATAAATACTGAATGATTGGATTCCATTTCGTTGCATTGAAAGGAGTGGCTCATGACGTCCTTAAAATTGTTTTTGGAGTTCCTTCTATTGCGCTCCAATCCAATTACTTGCAAAAACATTTGGATTGCACCTTATAGCAAGTAGTCATTTTAGCATTTTAAAGCTCTCGTACCATAAATCCTCAACCAATGACAAAGAAGCTATTTGGTACCCAGCTTAGTTTTTCTAATTCTTGGCAAAGTTTGGGCCACAATAGTCAGGCATGACAAATGTGAGACTAATAGACCGATATTCCTTAGCATTCTTTTTATAGTAAACATGGAAATGCTTATATTAACAAAAGCCAAGTATTACGACCTTGCTGCCACGATCCACTGAAATTCAGCCCTTCGTCGTTCCAATTCGTTTAAGAGAGAAAGAAAAACTAAAGCCAAGTATTACGACGAAAGAGAGATAAGATATCTTTGCTAAACCAAGGGTTTCAGAAACGATTCTTAATTGGTACAAATAAATAACAGCTCATAATTACAAAAAAAATTCTAGCTAAAGAACACCAAGTTGAGGAGAAGAGTCTGGAATAAATATACAATAGAAAAAAGGGGAGGCAAAAAATTCTGGCTAAACGAAATGGATTCAAAAACTATTCTCAATTGGTACATATAAATATATTACAGCTTATAATTACGAAAATTTCTAGCTAAATAACACCAAGTTGAGGAGAAAAGTCCGGTATAGTCTCAGTAGTCTTCGATCCCAATTTTGGTTTCTTTGAAGATCTGTTGATTCCTTTCATGCTAGAGTCACTATACAAAATGCATTATGAAGAGGGATCGATAATGATAGGGTCGATTCATTTGCTGAAGATCACGAGTACTACTTTCTATTCCTATATACAGATGATTTAATGCATTCTCCTCGAGTTGTAGTGAAAAGTTAGTTGGGCAATGTTTTTGTGTTACGCTCTTGAACAAGGCTCTAGAGATGTATCAATGATTCTGTCACCGAACTTCTTTCTTATTGCATTGCCAACTATATCTTTGCAGTTGATGTCAGGAAGGAGATTCAGGATGAGACTGATCGAGAGACTGGTCGTAGTAAACAAATCTCCAGTGTTCCAATTCATCTCAGTATATATTCTCCTAATGGTAGGACAAGTATTTAATTTGTTTCTTTAATACATCTTTTGCACATCTTGTGTGGTGCAGTACAAATTTTCTTTTCGTGTTAACAGATAATTCCCTTTCTTCAAAGAACTTCTAATGTCATAAAGTTAATAATTCCAAATTTCCAATTACTTTATTGCAGTGGAACATTGGTTTGATATTTAGTGGCAATTTGAGAAACTGATTTAGAAATCCTTTTTTATTTTTATTTTCTAAATTGTTTTGGAAATGCATTGTCTTGGGAATATTTAGTAGATGCTAACGTTTCTATATTTTTCTACTTACATTATTGACACATTTAGTATTCATGCTCCTTCCTTTTTTTTCTCATATGTTTTTTGTATTCTTCAAATTTTGGCAGTTGTAAACTTGACACTTATTGATCTTCCCGGGCTCACAAAAGTAGCTGTTGGTAAGTCACTTTTGTCTTTAAGATCTTGCTTGCAAGTCGTACATGAGAAAGTTTATCTGATTTGTCCATCCATGGAACTTAATGTCCATTTATCAAACTTAATTGAGATCCTTTCCTAGTTCATGTTTCCCTTGGTAAAAGATAAAATTATTCTGCTTTCTTTTTCTCTCTTTCTTGTTCTCTGGTTTAATTTCGTTATCTTATCAATCACATGGCTGACAAATTTTTTTTGCAAAAATTTAGAGGGGCAACCAGAAAGTATTGTTCAAGAAATTGAGAATATGGTTCGCTCCTATATTGAAAAGGTAAGTTTCAACAAATAGTGGATTCTCTTTCTATTCTAATCATCTAATATAATCAGTTGTGTTCCACCTTGATTTTTACCTTGAAAAGTAGCGTCAATTTTTTTTTAAAAGTAATTTATTTATTATTTATTATTAATATTAATTTATTTATTAGGGAAAGTGAGTGAAGTTATTTCTTGTACAGTCTGTTAGACGTTGCTACTCTTTTGGAGGAAATACTTGTTTACTTCTGTCTTGTAACTTCCTAGTGGAACTTTTGTCTTCTTACCTCATCTGTAATGCCGCTATATATGTTTCGTAACTTTATACAATTTTCAGTTCTGCTTCCACTGT